TTGGCATATCTGGAAAGACCATCTGGAGGGCATGAAAGGCTATGTCTGTAATCCTAGGTACTCAGGAAACTAAGGTCCGAAGGCTTATAGTTCAAGGCCAGCTGAGGTAGAAAAGTTTGCTAGATTCCATCCCCAGAATAACCAGCAAAACGTGGAGTCGAAGCCTCAAGTGGCAGAGCATTAATCTGGCAAGTGCAAAGTCCTGAGTTGAAACTCTAGGACTGCCCCGCCCTCCAATCACAGCACTGAAAAATTGGGAGGTCTAGGGTAAGTTTGAAGTACTTTATGGACATGTAATTACAGGGTCCTTTTATGTGAAACATATCTTATTTCAAAGTTAATGTTACAAAGTCAAATATGTTAACTGGAATGGATTTTTAATAGGTAAAACAATTCCCACTCTCAGAATTTCAGGTATTAGTGACAGAAGAAAATCAAGTTGGGGGGGGGTGAGGACAGAGGTAGCTTTTCTCTTCAGTATTACTCTGTTCCTACTGGAACCCATCTCTGTCGGGGACATATTGTTTCCTCTATAAAGTTAGACTATAGTTGTAAAGTGCAAGGCTTGAAGATAGAACTATGTGGCTGAGTAGAAGTATGTTGGATGATCAAAGAGTGAAACAGTACCCATTGTGAAGACAGGATATGAAAAGGATCAGTTAAAAGACATGAGGAATGAGATCTAGGTGCCAGTGACTCACACTTCTAGTCCTAATTACTTGAGAGGCTGAGATAGGGAGGATTGTGGTTTGAAGCCAGCCTGGCAGAAAGGTTCACAAGACCCTTTCTTAAACCCAAAGATGGATATAGTTACACGTATCTCTCATCCTAAGCTACATGGGAGGCTAAGATCTGGAGGATCATGGGTCCAGGCCAGCCTGGGTAGTTAAGTTCAGGAGAGTTCATCTCAATAATACAGGCATATGCCTGTAATGCCACCAATGACTAAATGACAAAATTGCTTAAAAAAGATGGATTGTGGTCCAAGTGTATACCTAGGCAGGATGTAAGCCCTTATTTCAAAAGAGTAATTCTGAATAATAGCACTAGAGTTGTGGTTCAGTGGTAGAACTGCTTCCTAGATAGCATGAGGCCTTGAATTAAAACTGCAGTACAAGAAAGAAAGTAAAAAAGGAAGGAAGAAAGAAAGAAAGGAAGAAGGAAGAGGGAAAGAAAGAAGAAAAGAAATGGTTAATGATCTTTGGAAATATGAGGATAGTGACTCAGAGCGGCTTATCAAAGCAAGAAACCATGTGGAACACAACAATCAGGTCTTACCATGTGAAAATCCAATAAAGAAGTCTACTACTAAAGTTTGAACAGCTATGGTATCTTTCTACTTTCCAGGAAAATGGGCTTAAAGGGTTTTATTTTGTGAATTATTTTTAAAATTTTCTGCCTTGTGAAAAAGTTGTGAACAACTTTATAAAGTACACACATATTTCTTAAAATGCATTATTTTAAAATATATAGATATCCTCATAATCATAATACAGCTAAATGTAAAATTATGTCAAGTCCATGCAATAGAATTAAGTATATCAATGTTCCATGGTGTTTTACAATGAGCACCATAATTTCGAGGTGCTACCATCTGACCTGGTTTGAAAAGCAACATATTACACCTCTGACTGCCTTTTGTTAGTTCTCCAAGGGAAAAAAAATGTTATTAGCCTTGGTTAAACTCACAGGGAAAGGCTTAGATACAAAGTACCTTAAAGAAATAAATTTAAAGGACCAAAAGAGAACAAAAAAAAGTAAATTCAAGTGTAAGAATAACATAATAGGGGCTGGGAAGGTGGCTCAGTGGTAGAGCACTTGCCTTGCATGCATGAGGCCCTGGGTTCGATTCCTCAGCACCACATAAGCAAAAAGAAAAAAAGCCAGAAGTGGCACTTGTAAGGTCCTCTCCTGGATGGTGAGCAGACTCCATCCTCCTCCCAGCAAAGTCTCCACCCAGTACCTGTGTTACCTAGGCAACTGGGATACCTGGAAGAGGTCACATCTGCATTCGCTGAGGTCACATCTGAATTTGATGAGGTCACACCTTCTCCGCCCATACCCTAGATAAGGCCTAGCCCAGGCCCAGACGCACTCTCTCTCTGCTCTTTTCTTTCCTTTTTTTTTCTTTTGGGTCCAGTTGTGGGGCCTGAACTCTGGGCTGGGTGCTGTCCCTCAGCTCTTCAGCTCAAGGCTAGCGCTCTACCACTTGAGCCACAGCACCACTTCCGGCTTTTTTCTTTTGCTTATGTGGTGCTGAAGAATCGAACCCAGGGCCTCAGGCATGCAAGGCAAGCGCTCTACCACTGAGCTACCTTCCCAGCCCTTCTCTGTTCTTTTCTAGCTCTTTTCTCTCTCTTTCCTCTCTCTTTCCCAGGCCTTTCCCAGCCACTTGAAGGGCCATCCTTGCCTGGTCCCAGCAGGTCTACTGAATAAATCTACCCCTTACCTGAATACAATGTGCGTGGTGCAGTTCTTACTTGGCTACCTCTTTTTAAAAACCTAACAGCACTGTGGCTCAAGTGGTAGAGCGCTAGCCTTGAGCTGAAGAGCTGAGGGACAGTGCCCAGCCCCAGAGTTCAGGCCCCACGACCGGACGCCCCCCCCCCAAAAAGGAGTAACATAATAATAGGTACTTTTTCTTGAGTACTTTATTTATACTGTGTGATCTGCTTAATATTTGCCAACAGTTTACTTGTCACCATTTCATTTAATTGTCATGACAGTCCTGAGATGTATCATCACCTGGATTAGCCAGATGAAGAAAAGAGGGTTCAGACTCATTCAGAGTCACATGGCTAGTTAAATGTTGGGTGGATTAATCAAATCCAAGGTTTCTAACTCCAATGACAATGATATTGTGATGTTTCATTGTGTATAAAATTGTGCTGAAATAGAATGTTTCTTTTTGTGTTAAAACTGAGATACAGTACACAGATTATTTTCTATAGGTCTAATCTCTATCTATCTATCTATCTATTCCCTTGTAACCATTAATTAGGATAAGATTCCTAATATTTCCAGAAGGCCTCTTCTGAATCAATAATCCCTTAAATAACCACTACCTACCCTCTATTGCTATAGGTAGATAGATTTTAATTAGATTAATCTAACTTCTTGGAATTATAACCAAAAGATTCCATGTATCTATCCATCATTCTCCCACTGTGTCAGCTGTAGACAAAGAAAGCTACAGTTTTAGATCTGACTTTTTAAGCATTACTGTAGAATTTAGTTGTTGGACATGGCTTCTTGTATTGTTGTAAAATTAATACTATTTTTTTTAAATCAAAGAAACACCAGAAGGAACTGCTGCAGAACGGGGTAGATTCAGATGGGCTGTTATTACACCAAGCAACCTCTCTACCTTGGAAGCTCCACAGACACAGCTTTCTTGATTGATATAATTTGTGCATCTATTTCCAATCATGGCTTTTCATTAGGAAGTAGATGACTGCAAAAGGTCATCTCAGTTTATGTCAGAGAAAACTAGCCAGGCAGAACATGCAAGAGTGATTGCTTTGCATCATCTCAAAGCAAGGAAAAATTCTGTACTAAATATCTTGCAAACTTCAATGGTTGTTTCATGATTGCAAGGAAATAAAGAATAAAAGTGAAGAAGATCTAGTTGGAGGATGGAAGGGAAGATATGACACAGTATCCTTCTTCAAGGCTTTAGTGTGGTACTTTTCTTTGCTGTCTAGCTGTTAAAACCACGTATCCTGGAAGTGACAGGAGCAGCATCACAACATTACATCATCATCTATAGCTGATGAATTCTGGAAATTATTTTAGATAAGAGTTTTCATCTCTCTCCCTGTTCATTATACCTCCCTCCTCCCATTCTAATTCCTGTCACTGCTAACCGTGGCATTTTAAGACACTTTACACATGACATTTGAGAATCAGGGGAAGAATGACACTTGTTGGCTTGGATGACTCCAGGAATGGCATGTGCCTGAGGTGACCAGTGTGGGGGGTAAGTCTAGAGGATTGCCCTGGCCATCAACGCAGGAGGACAGGCCCTGAGGGGGAACACGTGACAGCAGCCGCCACCTCGAGAGTGACGTCATCCCCGGAGGCGGGGCTTAGCTACGTAGGGCCTTGTTAGCTATTGAGCTGCCATCCCGCCTCCCCAGCAAAAGCCCTCGACCCCACCAGTCCAAGCTCCCCTGAGCTGAGGAGACGTGCTTAGATACCCTCCGGCGTCAGGGCCCGCTTCGCTCCCTGCCGAGGAGAACTCATCCCCACGCCCGCTTCCCAGCGGCTCCCCACCCCCAAAGTGTGGAGGGGCAGGGGGCAGGGGCGCGCGCACCCGCGCAGCACCACCACGCGCGCGCAGCACTACCACGCACGCGCCCCCACGCACGCGCTCTCCCTCCGCGCTCGTGCTCCTCCCTAGCCCGGCCCGGAGGGGGCGG